TGAGCTCCCATAGCTCAGGTAAACTGTTTCAGTGTGTGTCCCCATCATGGTCTTGACCTCTTGCTCATATTCTCACTCTCCCACTCTTCAACTGGACTTTGGGAGTTCAGCCCAGTGTTCTGCTTCGGGTCTCTGCCTCTGTTTCCATCAGTTGCTGGATGAAGGTTCTATGGTGGCATTCATTAATCAGATTACAAGGCAAGGCCAGTTCAGGCACCCTCTCCTCTATTAGGGTCTTAGCTTGGGTCATCCTTGTGGATTCCTGGAAATTTCTCTAGTGTCAAGTTTCTTGCTAGCCCCATAAAAGCCATCAGGGAAATACAAATCAAAACAACTCTGAGATACCATCTTACACTAGTCAAAATGGCTAAGATTAAAAACATCAATGATAGCTTATTCTGGAGAGGATGTAGAGTAAGGGGAACAAGTTTGCTGGTGGGAATGCAAACTTGTACAACCACTCTGGAAATCAGTATGGTGGTTTCTCAGAAAATTGGGAATCAACCTACCTCAAGTAGCAAGACCACTCTTGGGCATATACCCAAAGGATGCTCAATCATACAAGGACATTTGCTCTACTATGTTCATAGCAGCATGATTTGTAATAGCCAGAACCTGGAAACAATCTAGATGCCCCTCAACTGTAGAATGGATAAAGAAAATGTGGTGATTTACACAATGGAGTACTAATCAGCAGTAAAAAGCAATGACATCTTGAAATTTGCAGGCAGATGGATGGATCTAGAAAGCACCATCCTGAGTGAGGTAACTCAGACCCAGAAAGATGAACATTGTATGTACTCACTCATAAGTGGATACTAGCTGTAATCTTAGTGAGAACAGAAATTCTTACATTGTTTTAGCTGTAGATTTTTAAATGCATGTCTTTATTATTAAGGAATTCTTTAGATTTATAATAAAAAATTAGGAATGACTGTCATCATTGAAAGGATTTTTAAATTTTTGTTAATATGATGAATCAGCTGCTTTGGTTTTCCAAATACCGAATCAGTCTTGCATTTCTAGAATGCGGCCCTGGTTATGAACTACCTTTTAATCTATTTCTGGACACTGTTTTCTATTTATTGAATTTTTTGTTTGTGTGTATGTCTGTGTGATGACATATAATAACCAGACATTTTATTTCTTCATAATATCTGTACTGGTTTTCTTATTCAGACTCATTGGCCTCTTATAAGGAGTTTTCAAGAATTCCTTCCTTTCCTATTTCTCCCAAAGGAATGTATAAAATAGTACTTCATTCTTAAATGTTTTCCAGTTAGATCATTTCCCCTTAGTTTCCTTTGCTAAGTTTTCTTTAATTGTAAGGAAATCATAATTAGAAAGTATTGGTTTCTCTTGGATGACTTTAGTAGCTTGTTGTTGTTTAAAGTTACTGATGGATGTCTGGGAATAGATTTGTTCCCAGGCCTCCCTCGTCCTCCTTTACTGTCTGTAGGACTAGCATGGTGTCTTCTCTTTCATTATGATGCTAACTCACCTCCATTATCTTTTTTCCTGATTAGCTGGACAATAATACTTTTCAATTTATTGATTTTTATAGAATGATTCACCCTTATACTTCATTGATTTCTGTTCTAATCCCATTCCTGTTGTTAGGCAGAATATTATATAAGTATCAATTAGTTTGACTGTTTTCAGGTCATTTCTAAACTGATAAAAACTATTAATATTGTGTGTATGTGGTATGTGATTTTGATATGTGCCCTTGCCACAGCACACATATGGAGACCAGAGGACAACTTTGTAGAACCAGTTCTCCACATCTACCTTTAGGTGGGCTCCTGGGATCGAACTCCCATTTCCAGTATTGGGTGGGAAGCACTTTTACATTTGAGCCATTCCAACTACCTAGCTTTCATTTTTTTTTCTGTTTCTAATCATTAACTATAGAGAAATGTTATTGATTTAAAGGGTACAGTCACCTATTTTTCCTTATGGATCTGTCAGTTTTTACTGTACGTATTTAGTTAATGCACATTTAGGATTTGACCATTTTATTTATGAATATAATGGACTCTGGTCATATTCACGCCCTATAACCCTCTCTTGTTCTCTTCCACTTCGACTGATGTCCTTCCTCCCCCCCAGTTAGTTGCCCTTCCATTTTCGTGTATTTTTTTTCCTTTTTTGGTAACAAATTTTTAATTAGGGGTGTATATATCAGCATGGTGAGGGGTTGTTTATATAAGCACTGTACGTTAGTAATGACTAAACCCTGAAGAAAATATCACCACCCCCCAAGCAACCACTTGCTGACAGCAACCCTTCAGGGAGGGGCTGAGCCTCCTGAGCCCCATCCTGAAAACAATTAGGAAGTGACCAGTGATCTTGGGTAAATGTGCTCTCTTTAGATGAGGCTGAGAGCAAAACACTGTTGGCACTTTAGGACATCCAAATGATAAGTTCTGTGTTCTTAAAAATTTATTTTTAAGGTAGCAAGGCATTGGGTTTCATTATGGTGTGTGTGTGTGTGTTTTGCTTTTATTCAGCACGTTTCTCCTCAGCTGCCGCCCTCAGTCCACTTGCCCTGTTCTTGCTGATCTTCTTCTTCTAGTCTCATGTCTCATGCATTTCATTATTCTTTTTACTACTTCTCATTTCCCATACGTGTGTTACTCGAGGTAGAAGGCCTCAGTACAACATCACAGAATCAGCTAGAGAATTCCATATTTTTCTTTTGGAGTCCATTTTGGTGATATTTTCCTTAGAATCAATTTTGTATGAACTTCTAAATTAATTGGTATAAAATTCTTTTTAAAAACATTTTTAAAAGTACAGTTTCTATTGTGCTATCTTTTGCAGTTCACAATGTTTCATATTGTTTCCTTGCTCCCCCTCCTTTTTCTTGGTAGATGTAGCGCGCACCATGGCGCTGTCATGTCAGGGGTACGGAGCCTGGGCGCCATTTGCTGTTCCACGTCAAACTTGACAGCTTGTGAGCAACTTGTGCGCATGCGCGCCCACAGCGCATGCGCCTGCGAGCCCCTCCCCAACGCGGGGAGTATTTCGATCTGGCCATCCAATCTGGCCAATCATAATTTAAGCACGATCACTCCATTCTGGCCTGAGCCATTGGGTTGATGACACGTCAGGGCTTTGTCTGGCACCGTATATATTCTTCTGCGTCACGGGGACGGGGTCTTTTTGGCTCTTTACAACCTCAAGTGTAAGTGCTCCAATAAAGTGTGTTCTGAGAAGAATCCTGTTGCAGTCATCTCTTCTGCTGGCGGGAGCGGCGTGCTGCAAGTGGTGCCGAAACCCGGGACTTCCATCAAGGCATCAGGCAAAGACCCCTGCGGAAGCGGGAGGATTCAGAACTCAGACGCACGGAGCGGCGGTGCCGGTGAGTTCTCCGTGAGTATTACTTCTGACGTGCTGAGTGGAGGAGTGAATCCGCTTTGGGAGCCCCTGTCATTCAAGGTATGGTCATCTTGGTGCTTGTCCGCTGCCCTTTTCCCAAGCTGTCAAGTTTGACGTGGAACAGCAAATGGCGCCCAGGCCCCGTGCCCCTGACATGACAGCGCCATGGTGCGCGCTACAGGTAGAGGTTTCTGAGCTGATGACTTGAGGGTGGAATTCAGCCTTCTGCCTTGTGGACAGGTCAGGAGAGGGGATGCTATTTCCCCTTGGAGTGCTCTGCTCAGGGCGCGATATTCCTCCTTTTCCACTCTGTCCCAGCTTCCTTCCGTCTCCTTGGGCACAGCTGTTGACCACAGGCATCTCTTAGCCTGGGAATTATTTTACTAGCTTAAGAATAACCAGGAAGTGGAAAGTCAGGCTGGCTTTAAGTCATTTACAAGGATTGGTTTAGCACCCAGGTCTCCGGGACATAATTTAACTTTTCAGATTCCTTTGAAGTAACTTTTAGGTATTTGTAAGAATGACAGGAAATGTGATGTTGAGTCCAAATCAACAAGAGCTTTGGCAATGTGTTTATAGCATTTTCTGAGTGACTGTGAGGCTTCCTTTAGATTATTTATGAGTGTTTTGCTCACTTGTTTGTCTATGTGCCACATTTGTACCTGGTTCCTGTGGCGGTCAGAAGAGGGTGTAAGATCCCCTGGAACTGGAACTGTAGACGGTTATGGGCCTCCAGAGGGTGCTGGAAATTGAACCTGGAAGAGCAGCTTGAGTTCTTAAGCACTGACTGTAAATCTTAATCACTTGCCATTCCTCAGGAGGACCACTGAAATACAGCCCTGCAGAGAACACCAGGACGTGATGGTTGGCTGCTGTACCGGGAGTCAGCAGGGGAAGGAAAGGAGCTGCACGTTCCCTGTGCCTTCCGTATGGACACTGCCATTCCTGGGCTCTAGAAAGGTCTTCACGGCAGGTGTTTCTCACTATCCTTGTTTGATGAAGAAACCAAAGCTTGCCATGAAGTGACTAATTAGAAGTCACAAAGTTGGGGTGTCCAGTTGTGTCTGCTCTCTCCAACAGAACTTGTAAAACTAACAGGAGGATCTTTGTGGAATCTCAGTGTAGTGACACTGTTTTGTTTTTTTTTTGAGACAGAGTTTCTCTGTGTAGTCCTGGCTGTCCTGGAACTCACTCTGTAGATCAGACTGGACTTGAATTTAGAGATCCACCTGTCTGTGCCTCCGGAGTGCTGGGATGAAAGGAATGAGCCACCACTACCTGGTCTCACATTTTTTTTTTTTTTTTAACCTGCTACACCCAATAAATATCAAAGTTTTGTTTGGTAATACAGAAATATTATTGCCACCAAATATATTTTAATTGTCACTAACATTTTATCTATAACACTATTCCTTCTAGATCCTAACTCCAAGTGGGTTTTAGAATTCATGTTTTACCAATGTCAAGGTGCTAAGCTTCATTATCTCTGTAAAAGTATGGGCTGACCTGAGTCCTGTCCGTGGCTCCTGGAGGGACAGGCAAGTTACTTCACTGTGGTCCTCATCTACTTGCAGTCCTCTAAAGTGCCAAAAAAATTATTCAAATGCTCACCATAGTGCTTTCATTCAGTAAGGAATATTTATTAGAAGATAATAAATATTAACATGCTTAGATAGAAAGAAAAATGAACGCACACCCTGCATTCACAAATAACAAGAACAAAACTTTCTCAGAAATTTTTATATTTTACAGCCATAGCATGTCTTGATAATCAGAACACTGTTAGCAGTGATAATGATCTTATAACCGGTCTCCTGACCTCTAGATTTAAATAATTTTAAAGTAAACTGTGGCAATGCGAAGTTCACAATATAAACTCTGAGGCCTGCACAGAGATGAGAGACTTCCCAGCCCGAGGACAGAAATGTCCTGGCGCACGAGCACTTCTGGTTCCGCCTGTGTTAGCTTTCTTCCCAGAGACAAAATGCTTCTCATTATCGCACAAGGATTAGCATTCACATACCAATTTAAGGACACATTTACTCATGGAGAACAATTAGTTGAACAAATAATTTTTTATAAGATATGTACCACCAATAATTTAAGTTTCCCAAGAATATGCCCTTATGTTTAAAATAACAATCAATTCTCTATATTTTGATAATTATCTATAGCAGTCAAATAAAATCACCTGAACAGCAGTAATGACGGCTGCTGCTTGATGAACACTTATTGTACAATTAGGCACTGAGCTACGCACATCATGTACATCACACAATTTACTGTTGATGATAACTCAAGTGAGCAGGCCAGTTAACCTCACCATAGAAACAAAACTGAGGCTTCCAGAGAGGCTAAGCAATCGCCAAATTCAAATAACTGTTAAGTTGTAGAGCCAAGTGTCTGAGGCAGTCTGTCCTACTGTGATCCAAAGCCAGGCCATTCATGAGAGCTCTGATCTGTGATAAATGTTAGTTTAATAACTTCATTTGCCATATATTTATGAAAGTATAGTTTGTATTTTTTAAGATAAGAAGCAAGATCAATTCAGGTGGAACAGTGCTTCTGCCCCAGCTCATTTAAATATTATTATTTACATGTCTTTCCACCTTCATTATTCTAGTAAGATTATAAGTGCAATCACACAAGAGTCCATGCAACTATCCCATAAAGGAACGGAAATGTTCAGTACTACTGAATAAAGAACCCCAATTATTACATACAAAGTGCTTAAAAAAGACTTTATGAGATATCCAAGCCATATTTATTTTAGTATTTTCCAATAATTGATAAGATGGTATAATTTATAAATATCTCAAATCCATTTTTTTTTACTATGAGTCAAAATGTAGTCTTTCACTAATCAAGTGAGTTCCATTATGTATACTTAAAGCAAAGTCACATAGCGTCAAAATGAAACCGATGGGCTTCCTGTCGTTTTTCTCTGTCGTCTGCTTTCTGGAAGAGAATTGTAGAGTAATTTAAGTGCTCAGAAAATATTAAGATTCATTTCTGAAACATAGTTTTTTAAAATATCAAAGAAATTTAGAACATAACAGGTATGATTTTCATAATTCAGCAATATTGTAAAATATTTGTATAGATCTAGTAGCTATTATATAATTAAGGATATATTACTTGAATTTAAAAATCAAAAAGAAATGTTTACATTATCATTACTCTCTCCTTGAAAGCAAGAGTAAACATTAGATGCTAGAATAGAATCACTATTAACACTACTGTTAACAAGCCAATCTAAACTAATTATAGTAAGATGATTATTATGTTTTAGTTAGCTATTGATTTAGCAGATCTTAATTGACCATCTTCTCCTAGTAAGATGGAAAAAAAGTTTTATATTTTGTTCTTCAAGCATTTAAAGCCTAGAAAGGATGAAAACAAAACCTACCATGCAGCAGATTGATCCTAACTGTATTATTTTGGGTTTGAGTGAGGAAAGGGCAAGCTTTGAAAATATTGTTTCTGGAAATGGGAAGGGGCATTCATCTCAAGCTGGAGTTTAGCATGAGGAAGCCTGGCGAGTGTAGGAGGTGGAACACATGAAAGGAAATGGACCACACAAGCTAGCTGGGAATACTGTGGAGTGACACAGGAGGAGAGGGAGGGCCTAGGGAAGGAACACGCATGTGTCTTAGACAGTGGGCAAGAGGGTGAGTGACAGATAGTGAGTGCAGGGTCTAGTGCAGCAGACGGGAGAACTGGAGTCGGAGACAGCAGCCTGGAGCTGAGGAAGGCTCAAGGAAGGCAGACGTGGGGGCAGCTACAGGGATCCTCAGGAAGGCAGCTGACTAACGCTGAAGATGAGTCAGAAAGGGGAGAGAGGAAGTTTAGAATATTGACTTTGGGGTGAGTGATCCTGGTAGAGAGAGATCATTGTTACAACTAGAAATGGAGACAGAAACTTTGAGAGACAGCGATGAAGAGAAAACATTTTGAGATATAATAGTTGATTTTTTAGGGGAAACAGGCTGGAAAGTGTAGAAAGAAGAGGGCTTTTGGCAGATGTGTAGGAAAGGTGCATTGGAAGGATGGAAAATAGCAGCAGCTGGGAGAGGTGAAAAACTGGGTAAAGAAATAGAAGGCCCAGAGTCCCAGGTGATACAGTGGGTACATGGCTAAGCAGCCAGCTTCAGCTACTGCACCAGAGCTGTTGTGACCCCACACCTACCCCACAGTCAGACCCTGATAAAATAAGGGACTTAATTTCCTCTCACAGGTCAAGAAATATATAGTGCTTTGGGTTATGCTGCTTTTAGACAAAATACAGTGTCAGTCTACAATCTTAAACTTAATATATAATTTTGGGTTATTATTTCTCATACATAAGTGATTTTTCTTCAGAGTGACAAATCTATAAATATTTATCAGAATAATCAACATGTTCTCTTTTTTGTAACTTGCAAGAGCAGCGAGATACAATAGTAATTTTAGTTAGCAAAACATAATTCTGGTAGGCATGGCAGTCCAAAGAAAAAAGAAAAACCCTCTCCTTTGTGACAGAAGCCTTTTTGGAGGACACTGCTGGCATCTATGGCTGAGTATCTGGAATTACTTTCTTCTTTCTTTGTGTGCTGCTCGGAATTGAGCCTATTCCCTCCATCATTCAGTTATACAGCCCAGCTCTTCAGCTCTAAAGAGAAAATTGTACCATAGTAAACTAACCAAAATTACACTGAAAAACAAACCTTTTCCTGCCAATGTAAAATGGCAATTATTGCCAAGATGAAAATGCAGACACCAATGAGGGCTACTGCAGTCAGCAGGACAATGTTACTCGGTGTAAGATACAATTTGGCACTCCAGCTGTAAAAACAGAATGATTAAAATTGTAAATTTTAACATAACAACACGATTAAATTGAGATCAGAAAGCAAAGAAGCTTATTAATTAATGAAACTTCATTGGTTAAATCATTCACTCATCTAACAAAAACAATTAAATTTAGATAATTTGAAGAATACTGATGATCCTAAAGTGTTCATCATTTTCTTAGAAGTGAACTAGAATTTTCTTTTTCATGTATGGTTTTGGGGATTAAATCCAAGGTTTCATGTGTGCAGGGCCAATACTTTACAACTGATTTATATTCCAATCTCCCTGAAGTAGAATTGTTGATGAGATATATAATATTCATGTATTTTTGAGTTTGATCTTCAGAATTATTAAGTAAACTTACCAATAGTACTTTAGACAACTAAAGATGTCTTTAAAAAAGAACATTTTGATGTGCTGAATTTGAAAATTTTAACTCTAACAGCTCTGTAAGTCACATGATTTCACTAAGCCTTAGTTTCTGATGCCCCTGCCCACACATGTAGTACAAGTAAAACAATCTTATGTCTGAGTCGGCTATGTAAAACTTGCTTCATTTCTATGTTATGTTGGACATTTTAAAATTATTACAGTAACTTTTATGTTGAGACTTAGCACAGTCATCTGGCGTCTCCATGAATGTCAATGTGTAGACAATGACATCAGCATAAACATAATCAGGTCTTCTCTCTTGAACACTAAACACAATGCAGCACCTGTGAACACGGCAAAGCCTCAATCTGGGGTCTTATCACTAACTCTGTGGGCTTCTTGTCCTCCCTGGAAACAGGAAATGACTGTATTCTCATTTTAAAAGATTAATAAGGGCAAGATCATTCTAATGAACAGCAAGTACCTATTGATGTATTTTGACATAATTAAAATTTATTGATCCATAAGTTAGTCTTTAGTCAGTAAATCTCAGAATACACCTCAAACAAAAATCAATTAGGGTTTTTATTATGTACATAAATTTGAAAATGACATTTCTTTGGAAAGAGCAAGAGAAACATGAAAAATGTTCTGATTATGGAAGAAAGCTGTGACAGAATTTTTCAGAAATTCGTAAGTATAAGCCTTAAGAAAAATGAGTATTGTTGAGTACCTTACAGTAGAAAATAAAACTTATGCATTTTTTTTTTTGAGACAGGGTCTTGCTATATAGCCTAATGTATCCTTGAGATTGTCTATCCTGCCTCAGGTTCTTGGTACTGGGGTTTCAGGTGTGAACTATTACATTCATAAAAAAAAAACAGTTTTAATAAAACATTTAAAAATAATTTCTGTTTATTTTGTGTGCATGCATGTATGCATGGATGTGTGGCTGTGGAAGAGGGACTCAGCTTTCCTAATGTGGATGCTGGGAACTGAACTCGGGTCTTCTCCAAGAGCAGCAATCACTCTTTACTACTGGGTCATCTCTTTAGCCCCTAAAACGGTTGTTTCTTTCCCTTCTTGAGTTGTTTTAGTTCTATTTTTTTTTAAAAGATCTTTTCCCCCAAAGATCAAGATATTTGTCATTTTTGCTTTAAGAGAAACAAAAGGTTAATCTTCAGTTTTCTACTCAGGAGATTTCTTGTATACTCTGTCAGAGATATGCATACATGACCATGTATGTACAGATATCTTCTTTTAAGATAACAATATATATTTCTCCATTTTGCTGGTTTTCTTTTCCTCCCTGTTGTCCATGACAATAAACATAAATGAGTCACTACAGTGTACTCCATTATTACTATATGTTCTATAGTTTTCCTGCTCCTCATACACATTTTATAGTTTCTTCTCAACTTCATGTAGAGAAAGATACCACAAATATACAACACTGGATCATTAAAAAAAAAAAAGAACAAAATGAAAAACAAAACAAAACAAAACAAACAACTCCCCAAACAAATAAAAAAACAAAACCAGGCACCAGGGCCAAGCATGGTAGTTTGAGGTTCTCAGGAGGCTGACCTGGGAGGGTTGCTGGAGCCCCAAGTTTCAGAGCAGTCTAAGCAACATGGTGAGACTTTATCACATTAACAAAACCAAACCTCAATCCACTCCAGCTCTGATGCAGGCAAATAGCTACTTTTATTAGTGTTATCTTATACATGCAGTGATGTCCTGACAAGTCAGCTGTCTAGCAGGGTGCGTAAATCTGCTTTATGACATGTATTAGTTTTCATGGGGTAAATTCTATCACAGTAACAGACTTTAATATGACTTTACTGAATAAAGATAGGAAAAGATGGACACAGTGAACTCATAAGATGATATGTACTGGTTCTAGCATACCACTTAATATACCCATCTAAAATTTTAATAAATACTGGAGCTAAGAAAGTAGCTCACTGGTAGAATGCTTGCTTGGTATGCACAAGGCAATGGGTTCAACTCCCAGCACTGCAAAACACACACACACACACCAAACAAACAAATAAAATTAGTATTTACAACTAATGAAAATTAAACATATATAATATGTATAAATTACTAGTTAAGTTGTCTTTTGCCCTAATAGGAATGAAATTTATTCCTTATGAAACACTAGGGTAGGTGTGTTTAATAATTTGAAATTGACTAAGTAAATGAGGCATTGGGCACCCAGGGAAACAGATATAAATATGATAGTTTATAAAACATGCCACTGGATGTCTACCAAATTGAGTTCAAACAAGGAAGGGTATTACCTTCGAGGGACATTGTGAGGATACGGAATGACAATCAGCTGGGAATTTGGAATAATTGCTGTCCACTCTTGTTTTCTTATAGACTGAAAAGAGAATTTAATAACATTTAATAGCTAAGACATATATAAAAAGCAATTATTAGTTTAAATATGAAAAAGAAACCAATCAACCAACCAGTCAAGCAAACAACCAAACAAAAACCTAAACCCTCAAGTATTTTGAGAATTTGAAATCCTAAGTATAGAGGATTATATTTGTGTGTTATGAATTCATTCACTTAACAGATACTTACTGGACAGTTTTAGCAGGCATTATTCAAGGTGCCATGTGTAAATGCTGACTGAAGCGAAAATTCAAGTCAGGAAATATAAATTGTGTATAACTGCAATAATGCTACTTTTATGTTAACAGATATTACTTATGCTGTAAGTGATATATATTAAGAAGAAATAGCAGATAAAAAGGATAAGAAGTCACAAAGTTTAATGGGGAAGAAATGGAAAAACTATATAATAACAAATCATGGTACGTTCTCAGATACACTTAGGTCACTATGAATCAGTTTTTAATTATTTAAAGGCAATAAAGTATCTGAATTCAAGTTCAATTATATTCAAATTATTGGATTTAAATGTTTAAATGGTAAATATTAAAACAGATTGTGAATAAACTAAATGTTTACTTGCCTTCTCTCCAGATGGACGTGGAATACCAACAAAAAGATGGTCTAGAAAGTTGGCACTTCGGCCTAAACCAAGTACATTGTAAGGTAGTTGGAGAGCTAAGTGTGCTGACTGGCTGAGCTGTCCAGCTAGATTCATGAAGACAAAAACAAACAAACAAAAACACTTTTAAAAATACTGCACTCATCAAGTCTTGAAGTCCTAAAATGTTAAATTCAGGTATAATATGTGAGATGAACATTCAGTTAATTCATATTAAGGATTATTGGTTCACAAAAATCTGCTTTGTTTGAGATAAAATTTCTATACTATAAATAATATCTTCTTATAAAGTATAGCAAATGGCTCTGAGATATCCTAAGAGTTTACCACAGTGAGCACAATGTATTTTAGGACCTTTAGTAAAAAACTCGATACCCACAGCTAGTACAATTTACTTGTCAGCCAGGCTACACTTCCGGCCGTGGGCAATCTCTCTAAGCCGTCTATCCTAAAGACTTCATATAAATACAGTCATACAAAATATGGCCTTTGTAGCTGGCTTCTTTCACTTGACATGTTCTCAAGGCTAATGCTATAGTATGTTTCAATACTTCATCAACTGTCAAATAGCATGATACATACTACATTTGTTTCATTAATTTCATAAATAGACGAGTAATTTCTACCTTTGGCTATCATTAAATAATACTGCTATGAACATTAATATACATATTTTTGTATTTACTAGATTATATACCTAAGAATATGGATAATTAATTGCCTATTCCAAAATAGGCACCAGAGACAATCTCTTGTGTTCCCAACATGAAGCAATCATAAGTGTTTGAGATATTAGATATGCCAGTTACCACAATCTAATCATTATACATTATATATATGTTTTGAAATGTTATATTGTATAAATATGTACAATCATGATGCATCAATTAAATGTAGTATATATGTATGTAAAGGCAAAATGTACCTGTCCCATTTCATACACATACAAGCAACTGTATGAAGGTCCAAAATTTTCCATATCCTAGTGAACACTTACTATTACCATCTTGATGGTTGGGAAGCAGCTTCTCTGATATCAGAGTTGAACTTGTATTCCCACTAACAAATGATGTTGAACTTCTTTCAAATGCTTGCTGTTCATTTGTGTGTCTTCTTATTTTTGTGAACTTAGTAGTTATCTATTTCAAACTGGATTTTTGTCTTTTGTCCTAATCAGTATAAGAAAAGGTTTGCTAGTTTTTATATATGCTTCTAAAGTATCCTTTGGTTTGTTGTTTTTCTATATTCTCTACTTCATTTATTTCCTGTCTTCTGCTTGGCTTAGATGCTTTATGTTTTCCAGTTTCTCAAGGTAAATATTACAATACTCACTACAGACAGTTATTTCCACGGGGTCACTAGCCCAGGCTGGTCTAGAATTCCCTATGTAAATTGCTGTTTATATCAGTCTTAAAGGGGATCTATTAAGTGATAAAGAGTTCTACTAGTGTGATTAATTCTGTTTCTGCTTATCTGAGTATATCTAGGGTATTTCATATATGAAGGATAGTTTTGCCCATCTTTGACTGATAGTTTCCCTTGCAGCATGTATAATGTATTATCCACTGCCTTCTTGTCTACAGATGATGTGATAGGTTACCTTTTTTTGTGTTGCTTTCAAGAATATTTCTTGAGACTTGATATGTTTGAATATGGGTTTTTGTGTTTACCCTATTTGGTGTTTGCAGATCTTCTCAGATGTGTGTATTAACATTTGTGATAAAATTTGGGTGGTTTTAGCAATGACTTACACATTATTTCTGCTTTTCTTTCCCTGTTTTTGTTCTAATACTTCTATTATCAATATCTTGGTTTGCTTGATGGTGTCTCCACAAGTCTCTGAGACAGTCACTTTTATTTTCTTACAATTTAAGAGGATACCTTCAACTGATATATTCAAGTGTTCAGATTATTTTCCTAGCTCAAATATCACAGAGCCATCTACTAATATCTTCAAATACTGTACTTTCCAACTACAGAATTCCTACTTGATTTTGGTAGGTCTGAGGCCTAAACTGAAGGACGTATACATGCGGAAAGTTACTATTACTGGGTTGCCTTCCTACCTCTGATTTAAAAATGACTCTATTTATCCTTTTTACTTATTAAGTTTAACTTTCTTTTCCTTTAAGACTTTGAATACAGAGGTAGCTGATTTATAGTCTCTATCTACTAATTCCAATATCTGGTTCCTTAGACATATTTTCTTTTTTGGTATGTATATATGGTACATTTCTATTTTTCTATATGACCTATAAATTTTGTTGAAAATTAACTTTTTAGGTAACATGACAACTAAATATAGAATGGTTTATCATGCCCTCCATCCTAAAGCTGTTTTTGCTGTTCCTGTTATGTGTTTGGTGGCTGTATTTGGCCTGCATTTGCTGTGACAAAATACCAGCCAAAACAACTTAAGGAAGGAAGGGTCTATCTTTACATAGATGTGAACATTCTCAGGGAGTTAGGCCAAACTTAATTTAAGACTACATTAAGAAAACCATACAGCATGATCAAGCTGGTTTCTTTCCTAAGATTGGTTCAACATATGCAAGCCAGTAAGTACATTATAGCATATAAATAGACTTAAGGACAGAAAACACAAGGACAGCTCAATGGATACAGAAAAGTTCTTTGACAATGTTTAACATTCCTTCATAATAAAACCTCTAAATAAAGTAGGGAATAAAAGGAACATGTGTCAACATAATAAAAAGTTCCATATGCCAAATATATAGCTATAATTATATGGAAAAATGACCATTTCATTTAAAAATCAGAAAGATAGTATTCCCGCTTTTCACTGTTAATAAAGTGCTGGAAGTCTTAGTGTAATTTAACAAGAGAAAGAAACAAGAGGGCTACAAACTGTAGTCAATTTATTCTTTTGCAGATGTTAAATGATCTTGTACTTCAAAGACCCTACAGACCCAAGTAGAAAACCCTTAGACTTGTAAATACAGCAAGTTTACAGAACACAAAAGCAATAATAATTAGAATATATGATAAACTTGCTGAGGAAGAAATCCAGGTTTATGACAGGTTTCAAAAAATAATTAGATATAATTCTAAGGATGTAAAAGACTTCTACAAAGGAAACTTTTAAGATACTGAAAAAAAATTAAAGGCATAGGAAAAGGAAAATGTCTCTAAGGCTCATGGATTGTCAAAACTAGTGTGGCGACAATGGCTATGTTGTAAAAAATGATACAGATTCATCATAGTGCCCATCAAAATCCCCATGGCATTCTTCACAGTACTAGAATAAAAATCCTAAATTTCTTAGAGAAGTAGATAAGATTCCAAACAGCCAAGGCCATCCTGAGCTGAAAGAACAGTCAATACTAAAAATATCTCAGATTACCTGATCCCAAACTCAAGAGCCATAGAACCAGTGTGAACTGGCACAAAAACAGACATGTTGACCAAGGGAATCAAAATAAACTCACACAGCTAGGGCCAAAAGGTATCAAAATATACACTGAGCTGGGTATATGTGCTAGCTCATGCCTGTAATCACAGTACTAGTGAGGCTGGGGTGTGAGGACTGCCATGAATTTCAGGTCAGCTGAGTACACAGATCATGATGTACGACTTGAAAGTGAAAGGAGAGGGCCTTTTAAGATTAATGGGCACAGGCCAGTGTCTTCTGAAAATAGGACATAGGAACAATCCAAAGAATTGCAAAGTGGCGTTACATGAACCTAAAGCTTTCTGCTCAGCAAAGGAGACAGCTACAGAATGAGGGAAAAAAAAGCTTTTTCAACTTCATGTCAAACATGGAAATACTATTGAGGGATCTATAAAGAACTGCAAAAAAAAAATTAAGACCAAAATCATCTAATCAATAAATGGGCTAATGAACTGAATAAGCTTCTCATAGAATTACAGATGGCCAATAGAAACTCAAAGACGGTTCTAACATTCTCAGCCATCAGAGAAATGCGAATTAAAACTACTTTGAGATTCTACCTTAACTCTGGTCAGAAATAACTATTATCAAGAAATAAGACATCCGCTGTGAGACTGTGTCTCCTATATAGGTCAGGAAAACTATACCCATAAAATTTCAGCAATACAGTAGCCCAAACAAGACCTGGACAGTGGAAAGACCAGCTGACATGTCAACATGGATGAGGGAACTCAGGAGGTTTTGTGTGTGTGTGTATAAAGCATATACATGTATATGTATGTACAGATTTAACAATAATGAACAAAGAGAAAACAAATTAGTACTGTGAGAGAGACCTGGTGAGAGTGTAACTCTTTTCTTCTTGTTTGTTTTTCAAGACAGGGTTTCTCTGTGAAAACGGTCATGGCTGTCCTGGAACTCGCTCTGTAGACCAGGCTAGCCTTGAACTCTCAGAGATCCACCTGCCTGTGACTCCCGAGTGCTAGGATTAAAGTCATGAGCCACCACTTCCTGGCAAAAGAGCAACTCTTATTCACTGCTGGTGAAAATGTAGACTTGAGTAGCCACTATGGAAATCATTATAAAGTATTTTACAAAAAAAAACCCTCAAATAACTGAAAATAGAACTGCTATATGGCCCATCTATAACACTGTGGGATGTTACACACACACACACACACACACACACGAGATGGCAAGTCAATATATCACAGAGATACTTGCACATCTATTTACATTGCTGTACTATAGAGCTAAGAAACAGAATCAGACTAGATGCCCATCAACAGATGAGTAGATGAAGAAAATGTTGCAAATATATGATGCAATTTTATGCTACTATAAATAAAAATGAAACCATGACATTTTTAGGTAAAATAGAAACCACTCTTTAAATCAGACAAGTCAGACCCAGAAAGTCAAATTCTGCATGCTTCTGCTGTTCTCATGTGTGGAATCTAGATTTAAACGAGTGTGGTGGGGAGGGAAGGGAGAGATCTGAAGTGGAGGAGAGAAAATGTCATCGGACACATTTGGCATGAAAGAAGAAAGAACTATGTGGGGGAAGGAAGGGAATCTTCCATAAGGGACCATAGTGGAGAGGAAGAGAAATTAGAAAAGTTTAACATATGCATCACAATGTTGCAAGGAAATTCATTACTTTGTATGGAATCC